TTATATTATTGTGGGTCCTCTTTAGTTCTTGGAACCAACAATATCTTGCAAATCACCAAAGAGTGGGAAGGGTAATCATCAATATCATCGACATCCTCATCCACTACGGTAGAAACCACCTCCTCCTCAACAAAGACATTCTCATCGACTCTATCATTATCATGACTCATCATGTTAATATGGCCATGAGCACGACAATCACTAGATCAGTGGCCTGGTTCACCATACTTGAAGCACTTTCCTAGCATTTACCGAGCATAATGATTGGGATGAGATTCTGGAGTAGTTGTGCCCTGTTGAACAGGAGGACTATTTATTCCAACCACATGCTTAGCTGGAATTATTGGATTTGATGGTACGATAGTAATCTTAAGTTGTGTTGGTGGTGTTGATTCATCAAATTTATTACCACTACTAGAACCACAACCCATTGAACTGTGGGTTGAAGGCGGAAAGCAAGGGTGCAATTGAGTTTTAGCCTTGAGTGCCAGGTTATAGGCCTCATCAAGTTTCCATACAGTATTTAGTGCTAATTTATCTTGACTCGAGTTCTTTAAACCATTCTCATAATGAGAAACTTATTGGAATTCAGACTCAGTCAGGTTATTTCTGCTTGATAAAATAAGGAATTCAATAGTATATTCATGAACAGGATGCATATATTGCAACAATTCTCGAACTAAACAAATAAGATCTATTCATAATCTACGGGCAAGAATCTCTATTGCAGCTCTCTCTCCATGTGACGCCAAGTATGAATTTTCGGTTTGTGTTGGCAAGTTCGATTAAATTGGAGTAATCTCAACATGCTGCAGCTCCACCTCGCAACTTGTAGGCCACCAAAGAAACTTGCTTCCCTTCTGGGATGGATTGAAACTCGAAAAACTTCTCGATCTAATGAAGCCAATCAAGGAAGTCTTCAATATTGAAGCTACCCCAAAAATGGGGAAGATCCTTAACCCTAGTAAGGTAATCATGACCATGTCTTCATCAAGAGCAACATCTTCTTCAAGCACTCCAAAATCTTCCATATCTAAGTTCTCACCATCTTGATTTTAATGCTGAGCACAAACATCTGCCATGGCAGGTCGATCCCGAGCAATATCTCGGGAACGCACCTCATTATTAACTTCATTTCGGTTCCCTCTGTTTATAGTAGTCATCAAGTTCCTCATCGCCATGATATTTTCGTCAACACGTTGATCTAGGGTATCAACTAGCTGCGCAAGATTAGGGGAAGGGTGATTAACTTTATTGTCGTTAGTGGCCATAGCAGGAAACAACTCGACTCTGATACCAACTGATATAGTGGAAGCGTAATCAAAAGAGATAACTACTCATTTCCGTGTGAGCAAAACAATACAAACCATAAAAACCCTAGGAAAAGAAAACTTCTAACATTAATAACTAATCTAAAGAGTTCACAAAATCTTTCCTCTTATATAAGGTGTAAAATAAAGCAAAAGTACTAAAATAAACTTTCCTAAAACAATTAGACTTTCTAAAATAAAAAAACTTTTTATAAAAACTAAAAAACTAAAAGTAACCCAGAATTCCACGCGCAGTTGAGCCTGAAGGTGAATATCATTGAACACGAATATTATCTAGAACCGCGAATTAGTTTTATGTATAGAGCACTTTCTAAGCTTTCCAATAATAAAGATTCTATGAAGCGAGTCAAAAGATATGATCCTCCAAAGTTGCATCTTAGAATCTGTCTGAAAATACTCTTTCGCTTCAATCATCCCACTTTTGCATGAATGAATTTCTTTTAAACAACATCAATTATTGGCTTGCATCAAATTTAATGATATATTCCCTTCAATCCACTTAAGATTTACCACAGACACTAATTTGCAGTTACTTATATGCTTTACAGAACTAAATAATAATTTCAATAAATTGAAGGACAAATTTAAAAATATGTAAAATTTAATGTACCAATATATAAAAAACCCAAAAAAGTCATTTCAATAATTGGGTTTTATTCTATAATTAGCTTGATTAGTACACAGATCAGGGTTCATGTGCAGACAAGAAGGGAAAGCATTCAACGCATGAGCTCTCAATTACCTTACAAACATTTTAAAAGTTCTCATGCCTTTCCCATGACTAGAGCTTTTTAAATGGACCACTCATTCTATCATGTCTACCTCCTTCAAATCTATGGAACTACCAAGTCCCTAGTGTCTGGAATCAGTTGAAACTTATGACTAAAGAAAATTAATTTGCAATATAAATTTGATAGTGATGCATTTTGACTAGTATTTTGCTTATGAACTGACAAAGGCCTAAGTCCTTTGCTATCAAAGGGAGTCTCAATTTTTTTATTGTTTCCAAGGAACTCCTCCAGCGGATTTTATAGTGTTCCTAGCTATTCACACAGAGGATCAACTTGGAGATTTTAACTGTTCACTTTATTGTGTGAGTTATTCTGATAAGATTTGTATTTTCCTCCCACTAGTTCATAAGGTTTAAATAGTTCATGATTAGAAAATGAGAAAGGGTTTTTGAAAACCTGGTGAAACTATTATTTCTATTGAAAAGGTAAGTTTTTGTTATACTACAAATGTCATGGGTCCATGGAGAGCAACTCGTGGGTTGGCTAAATCCACCGCCAAAATGCTGCTATCAGAGCAGTTTGTCAACCGAAAGTGTGGAGGTAAGTGCTATACAAGATTAAGTGCTACACCACGTGATGTGGTGGGAGCCACCTCTAGAACCTGTATGAGCCCCCTCTAGAATCTACATCGCCTAGCAAGTGACACTGGGATGTACCAATTGTCATGTCACGACGACGAGGACGTAGTCTTTGTAAGGTGGGGTGATTGTGACACCCTCACTTTAGTCCTACATGGATTAGTGTGAAGAAATGTTAGTGGTATAAATAGAGAAAAGCCCAAGACCCAATAGTAACTAGTGCTACCATTTTGACGGTGGATTTAGCCAACCCACGAGTTGTTCTGCGTGGAGTCACAGCTTGCACGCTCCAACGGGTTCGTGGGCCTGGGGCGTGACAACAAATAACATGCAAAACTAAGTTTTCCCCTTTGTTAGAAACAGTTAGCAGGGATCAATATTATGTGCAGAAAAAAGAATGTATGTCTAAAATATATGATGTTTTCATTTTAAAATAATAGTCACATACTATTATAATATAAAATAATAATCCGCAACACTTATCACGACTTCATAGTTTTAATGTAGCGGCTATCAAAGCAACCCATGTAAATGTCATTGACCACAAAGTAAAAGCAGATGTTCTAAAAATTAGCTATTATATAAATAATAACCATCCACTCTCATCACAACTTCGGAGTTTTGTTATAATAATTAGGGATTTTAACATGTATTAAAAATATCATTTGACAAGATCATAAAAAATAGAAGGATTTCCCAAAAATATAGATAAATAAATAAAAGAGATACGGGGAGAATTGTCACTCTCCTATATTAACATATCTTATAAATTTCACTGTCTTTCTTAAAATAAAGGGTAATTATATTTATCCCTTCCAATTTTACATTGACAGTACTTTTCCTCCAAAAAATAAATATAAAAATAAATAAATTACATTGACAGTACGTATCCTCTTACAACAATTCTCGTATACTTTACTCCTTTAAATTTGAATCATAATGTCTAATAAAAATAAAAAATCATTTCTTAAACTCGAGATTCAGAAGAATCACCATTTAGGAAACTTAATTACTCGGCCATTTATAACTAAAAATATAAATTTGATATTGATCTCAACTAGTATTGCCGAAAGACAACCAGGAATATATCTTATCTTATAAATACAATGCACAAACAAGTTTTGATATCTTCTATGTTTTTATTTCTTTCCAAAAATTTATAGTAATTTTCATGTTAATATCTCCCTTGGTCTGAAGAGGGACCATAACGACTACAATCGATGGACAAAATAATGACGTGACACAGAAAACCTATGAGATCTTTTTTTTTTTTTTTAATGCCAGCTTTACATCAAGGTTACCATATTAAATAAATCATAAAAGAGAGAAGGGGGCTCAACAAAATTGTCGTTCTCCTATATCAAAATAGACTGGAACCCAAATCTTTGTTAACTTTAGGATCCTAAATCTTCATATTTACCAGAAACAAGGGTGCTATTTATAACAAATCAATAGTTCTGAGGGTGTAAATTAAAAACATGAAGATTTGAAGCTCTAATATAGAATCAACAGAGGTTTACGGTTCTAATATGACAAAACCCCATTAAAATATCTAGCACAGTCAATTAAGTGTTTTCTTAAGCTAAATATCACAAATTCTATCTTCTCAAGCAACACATAACAAATTGGGAGAAAAAAAAAATTAGTCTGTCGGTATGCTTAACTTTTCAAAAAAAAAAAAAAAAAAAAAACACTCTCATAATTAGCATAGTCCTGCATGGAAACCGCACGCGCAACACCTCTGAACCAATCTTGTGTATTAAAGTGCACAGTGGCCATGCACGCCGCCACCCCCCCCCCTAAATCGCACCGCCCACCGCGCTTACCCACGCTCACAAATCCTATTTGGTATAACCTTTTATTTTTTATTAAGGAAGAGCAGCCGCTGTGGGCCCCCCGGTACATTAATAAGTAGATATCCACCAAAATTAATACTGGTTGGCATATTGCAAGTAAAATATTATTATTATTATTAAAAGAGAGAAAAATAGGTAGTTTGTAGATTTTGTATTTTGGGGGGGATAGGAGTCTGTTACTCTCTGTCCTTTGGCAGGCAGAGCCTTTCGAAGTAAGTTTTTTTTTTTCATTTACTGTTTTTTTTAATCTAATTCTTTTCTCTGTCCTAAGCTATCGGCAAAAAGAAAAAAAAAAAGATTGAATTTTTACTTAAAAAATCCCATTTTTATCGCCACAGTAAATAATTGAAGCGTGGGGGCCATTTATAAAATAATGAAAAATAGTGGGTAGGGAATAAAAAGACCGGATGTTGACAAATCTTCATGTCACTGTTCTTGGAAGGTCGTTTGTTCTTGTGAGAGAGAGATCCCAGAGAGTCTTCGCTTTCATTCTCTCTTCCCCTCTCTCTCTCTCTCTCTCTCTCACTCCTCAACTTGATGAAAATCTGCAGTCTTTTCTCCTGTAATTTCGACCCATTAGTTTATTATTGTTGTTGGGTTATCTTTTGGTAGTGGGGTCCACTTGGGTCTTCTCTCTCTTCTTTAGTTTTGTTTGTCGCTGTTGTTGGGATTCCCTCTCTTTGTAATGGATGAAGAAGGGCTGCGCTCTCTTGGGTTCTGGGTTTTCCAAGTGCTCACGCTTAAGCATTTGCGGAGGAGCTTTAGAGATGGACGATAGTAGTGAGACTGAGGTTATTTTTTGTTGGATTTTTCTGTGATGGGTTTTCGTCAGTCATCTCAATTTGGGTGTTTTTTGGATTTAGAGCATGTGGACTGAGCGAAATTCCGAATTTTTTTTTTTTTTACTTTATTTGGTTGGTCCTTTGGTTTGTTGAATTGGGTTTGGATTGCTTTCTCATTAGATTGATTGATCTGGGTTATTGTTATTGTGTTTCATATATACGTCCTGAATTGTATGCTATTGAAATTGGGGTTGAATTCAACGAGGAGAAGCTTTACTTTATATTTTTGATCTTGATTGAGATTACTACCCTTTTGAAGATATGAATAATTGTCATTTTCTCAGATAGGGACTTAAAGTATTTGTTTATGATGAAAATACTTTTGCTTCATGTGAGATATGGAATTTTTTTCTTCTCGGTCAGTTTTGGGCCCTTGTTGTAAAATGTAATGCAGTTGGGTACTGATTGTGGATCATTATTGTTGGCTTGTAGATTCTCATGCTTATATCTTTCTCGTTGTACTTTACATTCTAAGATATTGCAGTTGTTTGTGCAGGTAGTAAATGTCTGATAACTAAGCTTTTGGTCTTGATTAGAAGTACTGAACCCCCCTATTCCCGTCGGCGAAATTGACTAGTGCAACACTTGCTAGATTGCTAGAGAGGATCTGTACTCGGAAAATTTTGAAGCTTCAAGGACTGGATACAATTTTGGGGAAGTGATACTTCCCTTCAGGTGGTGTGTATAAGATTTATCTTAATTTTCTGAATAATGTCAAACAGTCATATCTCCAGGCTTTAATGGGGCAGTTCTACAAGTGGCCGGTGCATGCTTGATAGGGTAATATTTTCTTTGATATTGTGGACCGTATTTTCTGAAATCATTACATTTGATATTTGGAATATTTAGTTCATTTTAGCTGAAATGTGTTTTCTCTATTCATGTTGAAAAATTCCGCTCAAATAACTCTATACAATTTCCTTATGAGCATAATATTACTGAATTGCATTGGCATGTGTCTATGAGTTTTGAAGAAAATGAAAAGAAATGAATTTTGATCATTTGATAAGAATGTTTTTCTTTGAGATGGGTGCAGGACATAGTAAATTAGTAATTTGCGAATGTAAGTTGCTTTCTACCAAACACATGTAATATTAGAAGGTAGTTTCTCCAATATTAATTTATCTTCTATTTCCTAATGTATAACATTTAATGTATAGAACCGTAATGAACTATTATAGGAATGCTTCTTATTGTCCGAGTATGTTAATTGACTTAGAATGTGGTAACTGTTATGGAGTTTGTTTGAATTTGTAAGTGGAGAGTGATTTTTGTTGGTTGGTAGGTTATTGATCCATGTTTCGGGTGTACAAAATCTTCTAGTAGGGATTTAGAGGAGTGTATACATGTGCACGCTACTTGCACACAAGTTAAGGATAGGGAATTCTGTTTCAGGACTCGAGATATTGATACGGAAGATATTACCATTCTTTTTATTGATTATTGAATCTCTATTTGCTAAATTTTATCAGTAAGTTTCCACAAGATGTGCCCTCTCTTCACAAGTTATGTACACCGTTTGCTGGGCAAGCTTTTAGGTCAAACTTTTCCTGAAAGCGGTAGGCAAAATGTGAGCAATAGTGAATAGCACTTACTCAATTAAGCAAAATTTACATTCCAGTTGCTGGATATATGACATACCCAATGATGAGTCTAAAATAAGAGAAATACATAATATGCAACTTTTACATAAGTGTCCTTAAAATGTTTTAAATATGTATATTTGTCATAAGATACGTTGTACAATCTATCTTTCTCAAAACTAGGGAGTTTTTTACTGCGAGAAATTTTTATTTATATTAGACCACAAACACTTATTTATACTCACCAGTAATGACTAGATTTTGGTAAACATTTTAAATACAAATTATAAACCTCAGCCTTCACCAAAACTTTAGAGTTTTGGTGCATGGGAGCGACTTCAAAATGGTACCAAATCTACCACAGTTAAAGTTTGATTAGAAACACATTTAAAGTGGATTTAAAAAGGTATTTCATTATAATATAACTCAGGTTTCAGCCTACGAAAAGGATGCTCGAACTATAAGAGCATGTTACAGCATAACTAACCCTCAACACTCAATAAAACTTTCAATGTCGTGTTGTAGTATAAGGGACTTTAACAAACTTAAAAGCTTGGACGTAATCAACATAATTAATGATTTAATCCTAAAAATATTTTAATTTATCAAATCTGAAGTTATAAATCATTTCAACTTAGAGGGAAACTATTGAACTCATTGCAATACTCATGTTACTTCTGCATTAAAACTATTGTCTAGTTTACGGGTGTCCTTTTAGGTATTTAGTGTTGAACGGTCTGATTTCTTTTACCCTTTAACGTAATAGAAGTGATCATATGGATAGCATCTCTGAGAAATATCTTTAAAGTGTTGTTTGTAGAAGTTTCCAAGGAAACTCACTTTTGCTCAAGATGCCATGCTAACAATCAGAAGGAAAACAATGGCTCTTATATTTTACTATTTTTATAATGTTTTTTTGTGTGTAATACTCTTAAAATGAGTTATCACGTTCGCTTTCCTTGTCGGTGGCCTTGGACTGCTTATTTAGATCTTCATTAGTTACCCGGATGATAACTGATAATTAAAACACCTACTGCTAAAAGTAAGCCTAGATCAGAGCATATTTCCATGTGGGAATTAGGAATCTGAGTGGGTGTAAAACATTCCATATTATCACAACTTTTACATTTTATATGTAACTTTTGTGAAAATGTTTTTGGAGCCTATATTACACAGGACCTGTTGTTAGTGGTCTTTGTCAATGTGCTTGATTTGTTAGTTTTTCCTTATTTTCCTTACAATCTCCGTACGGTAAAATTTGTACCTTTTCTTTTCTCCATATCCTAGTGTCCATGAAGGTTTTGGAAATTTTGAGTGCATAAAAGACAGATACTAGACTTATGTACATGAAAAATACTACAGAAGTGATGCCAAAATGAACCTAAAACATTTTTGCATATCACCAAGCTCAAAAGAAATATCAGAGAAAATAATAGAGAACTGAGCAAAGATGGAACAAGACTTGTATCACCCATCTCAAATAGATATTAAGGAAATTGAAATTAAACATTTTTATGTCCAAAATTAGAATTCATAGACCTAATGTTGCATTCAGTAAAAATTTATGATACATGCATAGAATGTACTCAATGTGTACAAGTCTGCCCCGCAAATGTGTTTGAAATGATACCTTAGGACATTTATAGAACAACTTTGGAACAAGCTTGTACTTTGCAGATGAATACCATTTCTTTTTCGCTAAATTTAATCAATTGATGAAGATGGTTGCGAGTAATGATAGATCACAACCATATTATTAAAAGCTTCTTTGGTCAGAACCAATGAGTCTGTTAGATATGATGCAAAATGGATACTTTTCTATTGTTGATTAACTTTTTTATGAAAAATACAACCCGGAGTTTGAAGAAGGGGAGGGTTCCTCGACCTGAAATAGATAGAGGAGAGTTTATTCAATCATATAATTTGGGCTCCTAGAATATGACGCCCTTGTGGCAATCTATTTCTTTGTATTGAAAGGCCCATTGTATTGGGATTTCCCTATTGGGCCAGGTTTTTTAGGGCAAGCGGTCACTTATTATTAAGAGGATGAGCTTCAAGAGAATGATTCAGAGTTTTTACAAAATGGAACCGTGTAGTACTAGACACGAAATAGATTTCCCAAAGAATAAGGCTTTTTTTGAATTAACCACTTCATTTGGGACTCTGTGGATCACTATTCAAAGATTAGCACTATCTCAGTGTTTTCACGTTAAGAATTCTTCATTGATGAATAGATGTCAAAGGGGCTCATTACACTGTGCATTAAATAAAGTTGCACTTAGGCGGTGTTTCTCTGAATGCAAGTAAAAGACGAGAGTGAGAAAGTGACTCATTTTTAACATTTTAAGTGTCCGTTTGCATGAAAGAAAGTGAAATGCAAGAAAGTTACCATATAGGATTTAATGCAATTTTGACTTCTAAAAAAGTAGTGAAGTCACATAAAAGAGACAAAAATGGTAATCAATTTTATAAAATAATTTTTAACTATATTTACTAATTAGTCCTATATTGCCATATCATTTTTACATTGCACTTTCTACAATAATTTCGTTTTTCAAACAAACACTATATTTTATTTTCATGTTGACATGGATGTGAGAGTCATTTGCAAATAATAATAACAATAATAATCATCAATGTTATCAATAGCGGATAGCGTCGCGTAGCGGTGAGACATTGCTAAGGCTATTTGGAGATATTGCGGAAAAATAGCGGTAAAAAGCGTAAAATCAAATAACGGTCTAATTTAGATATGTATAAATACTAAAAAAAGAAATATTAAAGAAAAATCTAAAAGATCTAAAAGTACATATTTAATAATTTAAAGAGATCCTAAATATGAAATAGACATGTAACCATCACGTAATACCGAAGATGACTAGATGAGTCAAAGAGTAGTCGTTTTCGAGAAGAAGAGCTGAGCGGTGAGAGGATTGCCCTAAAAGAAGCTCACAGTGAAGGAGGTGAGAGGAAGTTCTGAGGTAGGTGTCAGAGACTATGAGAGGAGGCGAGAGAATGCCGAAAATCACAGGAGACGGTGGAATGCAATGGTCAAGGGTTGGGTTTAATTTTAAAAAATAAACCTCAAACCGCTTTTATATAGCAGTCAAAAAGCAGATTTCGCATGCAAGCGTCTACTATTTACCGTTATGGCACACTATTAGCCGCTTTTCCTAACGGAAAGCGCATATTCTGCAATATGTCACTGCTATTGGGCGACAACGTTGGCGATAGCGTAGCGGGAAGGGCCCGCTAATGCTATTAGCGTCGCTATTGCAGGGCTATTTATCGCTATTTATAACAGTGATAATCACCTACACAATTTCAATTCACTTTCAAATTGCCAAACATCCCCTTATTGACGGTAAAGTTTGGAGATAGAACATCAAAATGAAAGTGAGAAACAGTGAAATTGGGGCCACATGATATATACATAGAAGGATTTAAACCTTACATTCTCATTGATTCCAATGTCTGTTTGATTGAAATTCATAAGATCTACCAGAGTGGCAACCATAAAAATTAACTCGCATCTAGGCCAAGAAAAGTATCATAAACCGAACAAAGTGGTTAATATAAAAACTTCACACAAATATTTAAAACATTATATTAGAACCTGACATACATAATGTTTCATCCAGAAGTAGGCATCTACATGTCCATATTGAATCATAATTTTATTTTTAAATTAGTAACATCCACATGTTTCTATTTTGACAAGTACTAGGCCTAGATGCCAAATATGAAGTGCACTAATGAATACCGTGTGCATGAATAAATATGTAAACACACATGTACACACTTGATATTCAAACACAGGCATAAGTGTCCTTAAATGAGTCAGGACAACTATAACTTCAGCTTAGATTGTTTTCTAGTGAGCTTAAAATCAAGTTGAGATTGACTTAGCTGCTGACAAGCCAGGTCGAGCTATTCATTTGTGCACATTTAGTTGTGACATCTTCGTGAAGGGTCCTAATGGTGCACAACATCGTGCTTCAGATCTAGTTTGAACCTAATTCTTTCTAACTGGGGTTAGATCTTCTTCTAGACTTATGTCGCACAGGTGCGGATAAGGGACACGACAAATTTTTTAAAGGTAGGATACATGGACACAACTATATATACATAATAAAATTAATAATTTACATGAGATTTGTATTGCCTTTTCATTTACATGTTATGATAATTAAAATTCCTATAACATTTTTATGTTTCTTTTATTTAGTCGATTAAAAATCCACATGTTTCTCAAACTAGATACCTAAAAATGTTTTGGTTTAGCCCATGATGGAGGTGTTCATATATGCTGCATGTTTTCTTTGCCTTATGACTTGTATAAACATGTCCTTGCTAGCATGAAAGCACTTGGCCTTGAACTTAAACTTGACTATCTCTGAAATAGGTTCAAATATTGTATAGTATATGCAGAAATTGTATACATGAATTGGTTGATTCTGGCTTAAATGATGAAGTTTAGAATAAAAGAATAAGTTCAGCAAATTGCCTCTTTCTTAAGCAGGTAGAATGCAATGTAGGAAGTTTTTGGCATGGTATAACAAGATTACACCTCCAAGGAGGTCTTATAGTCACATCTAATTCTTCCTTGTATTCAATATAGAAACTTAAATAATATTCCATGAGTTAACTAATTTTTCCAAATCCTATACCGACTTTTATAAGATTTTAGGAAGGTAAAATCAGATTTTAACTTAAGGAACAAGAGAAAGAGAAGGATCTGAAAGAAGATTGATTTTAATGAAATGCTAATTTAGGTATTTTAACTATGCGTAAACAATAAAAAGTTCATGGTACTGGAGCAGTGAACTCTTTTATTGATATGCAAATGGATACAATCCTATATTTAGAATATGAATATGTTGAGTATATTGTAGCAACAAATTATAAATGTGTGTTTGTTAACATTCATTATCTGTGGCATATATGGTTTGATAAGGCTATAAGAACTAGAGAGCATTGTATCTCGGATGTTCTGAAATACTTTCAATTGATTTAAATATACTGTTATGTGAACAATTATGATCTTTAATAAGAAAGTAGGAAAAATGCTTAACGCCTATTTGAAATTTGGGCTCACTCCAGTTGGTTCGGGCATTAGAAAAATTCCTAATCAGACTTCATTAGTACTCAAGATATAAAGCTTAGTATTCTCATTTATATTCCATGTTGTATGTCATGTAGTAAGCCATGAGAGTGCAAAATGTGGTTTGGCTCAATTCACGGCCAATATTGACTGGTCAGGTGACGATTGACTCTCAAGACCCATCATTTAAACCCTCTTAAACTCTATCAATTTCCCAGTGTGGACTATTAGTGGGGCATCACATTGTACGTATGTATGTGTAATGGATACTGTCAACATACAGCTTTACATGAAGGTAACTTGAATGCGGGGGAGACTGAAAGACAGCGAGAGGGAATGCATTCTTTAAGATTTTAAGATTACCCACTTGAAATAGTGGGGCCTTTAGAAAGGAACTGTCATATAACAGTTTAACCTAAAATATAACCAAGAGAAAAAGGTTAGAGTAATGTTTCTGGTGAGCCGACTTACAAGCACACGATTAATTAATGCATTTAATTCTGAATAACACTTACTAAAGAGTTAGGAAAGTGCTGATCCATTATAATGGTGGCTGATGTGGAGTTTGAGGGAGTAGATATACACATTACAAGCTACACCTGCGGCAATTTCTACCGTTGTAGAAAACATCCCGCAAACCACTGGTTGGTTTGTGATTACTCTGGAAGCATGTGTTATTTCATGAGCCATGATTAACTTGATATAGATTGTTTCCGTCGTTTAGGTGCAAAATATGATTCTAGATACATGAATAGATTCTTGCTGATGGTTATCAGACAGAAATGGGAATCAAGGCTGAACAATCAATTAACATCATTTTTAGTTCAATCATATGCCTTTATAGTCTATGAAACTCATATAAGTTGACTTCAAAATGTCGTCTTCCTGTTATTTGTTCCTGAATCGTCTTTATCATAATCAGTATTACCTTTGAACTACTAATTTTACACCTGGATTATTTAGTAAATTCTCCATGTGTTACCAACCAATTGCAAACATGTTGAGACAAGCAATCTCACACATATCTCATGTATTGAATACTTATGTCACTTTTCATTTTTACGATGTATAAATATTGTCATGCGTGTAGATATCACTAAAATAATAATTTGCATCATGAGGATAACTTTCTGTTCTATGAATTCTTGTTTCAGTTTGTTTTTTTAGGTGCCCAAAGTAATGAGATATAACCATCTTACCTTTTCACAGGACGCACTTTCATAAATCTTCTCTTTGATGATAATCTACCTGTTTCTTTGCTAACTTTTCTGGTAATGCTTTGCAGTAATGGGCACAAGGGTGCAGCATACAAGCTACCTGCAAACTTGTTGTACTATGAGGGATCTTAATGAGGATGCAAATGGATATTGGTCTCAGTACTATGAGGATAAAGCATCAGGTAGAAAGATGTGTAACAATTACCAGCCAATAAACGGGTTTGTAGATTATGATAAAGAAATGTTGAAGAGGACAATGCTTGAACATGAGGCCATATTCAGGAAACAGGTAAAACATCCACAACCTTATTCTAGATTTTTAAAACATGATCATTATGGTTGTTTAAAGTTTCTCTATTTCCTTCTAATTTTTTGAGTCATGTGGTCGATTGATAAGTCTCATATGCCTAATGACTAGGAGAATAAACATATACTTCCGTTCCTTAATGTACTTATATGGAAATTAGACCTATATGGTATGTTTTCTCTTATCAATCACTTAATATTCTTGTTCTGATCTTTTTAATTTGATATATTTTTCCACTGTGTGATCTTCTTATGACCCAGGTATATGAACTGCATCGTCTTTATAGGATCCAAAAGGACATGATGGATGAATTGAAGAAAGGGCCACAGAAACGCCTACAAGTCGACATTTTGCAATCAAATTCTTTCTCATCCCAAAAACCGTCAAGATTTGTAACTGTAACTGACGACAGGAAACCCACTTTGAATTTTCTGAATGAAAACAGTGTGCAGTCTGGTTCAGTTTCTACCGAGAAAAAGATTTCTGTCAATGATGGTGATATCTCAGACTCTAATCATGGAGAGCCCCAAAAGAGAATGTTTGATCTTCAACTTCCAGCTGAAGTGTATATAGATTGTGAAGAAGAAAAAGCAGGGAAGGAAACTGTTGCTGATCTAAATGAACCTTGTGGAGAAATATGTTTTGAAAAAGCTGCTGATTCAGTTTCCAGTAAACTTCCTGGACGAATAACTCCTTTTGCAGAGAATCAGGGTCTTCGATTGCCTGTGAGATTAGAAACATGTTTCTCAGGGTTGCCAACTGATTTTCTCAAAGGCAGGCACTTTGATGAAGGTACTAGTTCGAATCATTTTTGTGCGGGAGCTGAAACCAGTCGGGGATGGCCATTTTTTAATAATGAAGCTGGTAAGAGTTCCTTGCTTGAAATTTAATTGCATATTATCTTCTGTTTGGGGGCATATAAATGAAATGACTAAAATTGCTGCATAACTTTTATACAGACAATTAATGTTTTGTGTGAATGCTTGTCAGTTGTGAGCATGTGTGTGGCTGTAGTGTTTTTTTCCCTCCTCCTTTGGGGTTTTAAAATTTTTAGAAATGTTGCAGTTATCCTTGAAAGTTCTTAGTCTATTGATTTAATTTGAGTCTAGGTTGCATTAGTGCAGGTACATCATAAATACAACACTGTACAAGTGTGCAAAAATGAGGGATCATGTATGATGAGACTTCTAAGTGATATAAATCATGACTTCCACAGAAGTAGTTAGTCTAACAGAGATTTTCCTTAAAAAGAACTTCTGGTTGGAATCTAGTCCTGATAAATTGGATGAAATTTCTCTAAAGCTTATTGTTCACCAGTCTACCACAACTGCTCTATGGGTTTGTTTTGGCTGTAAGACCGTGTCATTAATCTGAATCTTTTTAAATAAATGTTATGAAGTAATTGAGGAGATAAATTTTAGATGGATGAATTTTGGGATCAATAACAAAAGAAGAACACTCCATACAATCTTAAACAGTGTATGAAAATAGATCATCGATCTTGAATAACAAAAAAAAAAAGTCCACCGAATTTTGGTCATCATCTTGTAAACGTTTTCTGGATGTTTTAGATAATATGGCTAGTCAAGTGCTTGTTCAATGGCTGTTTTGTTTGGAAGACTCGTACCCAGTTTTAGAAGCTTCAGGTGATCATATAGATGATGCATTTTTATTTGTTTGTTCGATCTAACACATAAAAGAAATAACTCAGAAGGTCTTCTTTTGTATGCTTCCTTTCAATTTATTGAAAACTTTTACTTATAGGTTTCTCAAAGCATTGACTTAGTATAAAGTTAAAAGAACAGCGTTGCACCCTTGAGATTTCGTGTTTTGCTTGAGAATATTTTCCACTGGGCAGTTGAAAAATACTAGGAGATGGTCTTATACGGGCAGTTCAGCTAAACCGTCCATATAGACCATCTGATGTTTTAATCCTTAGTATACTTGTGTCAATTTTTTGGGCCATATTTTGAAACTTTACGTTCTTCCTGCTTACTGCCCTTCTGCTCTTAACCGGCTTTCAGTTCCTGTTCTTGTTTTGTATTTATATCCTTTAACAGCCTATATTTGTTTATCGTGCTAAAAAAATAAATAAAGCTGGCAAGCAAACTTTTATAGTCATCAGCAATTTAGATTGAAAATATCAAATTACTGGTCCGACTAGTGAAAATCGCTTCAGTTCTCCATCTCATGCTCAACTTATAAAGATCTCTATCCTATATATTAGCATGTCATGATTGTTTCTATCAACATATTGATCCTTTTCTGTTACTTGACTTTCAATTTGTGATGCAATATTAAATTTTACAGGCCAAAGCACTAGCGGTCTAAAATTGTTCGGTCCGGGTTCCTCTAAGGAGAAAGTCTCCATATCATCTGAACAGAGTAAAAGAGATACATGGTTCAAACCAAAACCTGAATTCTCTGAAAGAAACTCTCTTTATAGTTACTTGGATTATAAAACTTCTCCCTCTCCACTTCTTTCATCTTGGGGCAGACCGCCAAATGGATACAATCATGTACCATTAGCAGTTTCATCATTTCAATGCTTCCAAGGATCAGCTTCTCTAAACCATGGCAACGCTTATAGTAAATGGCCCTATAGTGGTGACTTGAATGGTTATAGCCAGTCAATTACCTTTGGTAAGCCAAACCCCAGTGGTGAAAAGAACGACGGTAGCTCTGAACATTCTAGTTCTCAAAAGTCCCAAAAAGATTTACATTTGAATCAAACACTTTTGAACGGATTCCGAAGTGGTTTCACTACCGAGAAAATCAATGAATCAGAGCCTAAGTGTGAAGATCCATTAGAGGCTCCCTCTTGGCTTAAAAAGAAGCCAACTTACAGTGCCTCCTCCCTAATGGAGTTGGACTTGTCACAAGGTTATCCTCAACTGAGGAGAAAAGAAACAGAGAGGAACATTAACTTATTCAATTTGCAAGACTTTCCATCATCTTCACAGGGGAACGTGATCACAACGAAGAAAAACTTGGCATCAACTGAGCAAAGTAGTAAGAAAATCTTTGGATTTTCCATTCCTGAGAAAACCCAACAAGCAGTTCAATTTTTGCCTCATCAGGAGCAATCCCAAATTGTAGTTACAGAAAGCAGTGGCATGAGCTCGAGAGGTCACATCGATTTGAACTTTGACCTGAATTTGGCTGAAAGTGAGAAGGCAGAAATTCCCTCTCAAGTTTCTGCACCAACTGTTGCTTTTGAGATTGATTTGGAAGCACCAATTGTATTTGAGGGAGAAAAGCAAGATGATGCCTCAGTTAAAGAAGCAGCTGAAAGTATTCTCTTGATATCATCAGATCAATCTAAATACTTAGATGACAAAGTTCCATGTTACAATCCTTTGCCTTGGTTCGCAGAAGTTGTATCATCGACCACAGAGATTATTAAAGAATCTTCAGATGATAGCTTTGAGGTTTTAACCTTAGAGCTTGAAGAAATCAGACCTGAGGAGTATTTGTCCCAATCATGGAAAGGACTAGAACAAAAGGACGACGATAATGATGATGAAAAGAGCAATATTGCTTCACTTCTCTTCACAAAGCCAAAGAGGGGACAACAAAGAAAGAGAAGACAGAAGAGGGATTTCCAAAGAGATATCCTCCCGGGTCTTTCCTCGTTATCGAGGCACGAAGTGATTGAAGATTTACAAACCATTGGAACACTAATGAAAGCCTCAGGTCAAATTTGGCAGGGAGCCGGATTGACGAGGAGTTCTAGAGGTCGGAAACCTAGGAGCTTGGCTGTCACCGCAGAAGAGATTCATGTAAGCCCACCTCCGGTAAGTCCTCTTCCGCAACCAGCTCCTGCAGTGGTTCAGCTTGGATGGGGAAGGACAACAAGGAGGTGCCGAAGGCAGAGGTTACCGCCTCAAGTGACAAATGTTGCAGCTCCTCTAACATGAAGAAGATGTAACTGGGTATAGTGAACTTTTATAGCGGAAATTGAGATCAGGGGGAAAATGGGTTTTGATATAACGGGGTACACAAAAGGTGATTACAGTGATGCATGGCCATGGTTGTACATGCTTTCTAGTTTCCGAATTTCATAAACAGCTTGTACATTTTAGAATAAATGCTGAATCATTTTCAAGCAAATCAGAGACCATAATTAGCTCTGCTCTAGCTCTCAAAAGAAAAAAAGGTATCGAAGGTAAGAGTTCTTCAGGACTTTCTTTTAGATGTTTGCATGTCATTCATAGCTAATTGATGCATTCTATCAGTCTCAGAAAGTTTATTAAGTTAGGATGCTGTTCATTGTTATGTGAGAAATAGCACCTGTACCGATCCTTGAGTTTTTTTTTGGCCGCCTTCTGTTGTTGGTACCGCATGGTTTTATGCACGGCGGCATCGCGAGGAAATTGAGAGTTGTTGCAATTCTTGACCAGGATTCCAGTTGTACACGGTCCATTAGAATTCAGCTTCTGCTTGAATCAGTGTGTATCCTTCTTCAGACACCGTAACTTGTTATATCTGTTTTGAACTTACCGCCCCTTTAGTTTCATCTTGGCAGTTGAACCCCAGGATGCTAACTCTGTTAGCCTGTTGCTAGTCTTGGGCTGCACGTGGGTTCCACGGGCTTCTAATGACTAAAATACCCTTCCATTTTTAAAGTATCTTTTTTACCGTGTGGAATTCTAAAAAAGGAAAGGGTGTTTCAGTCATTTAAGCGCTCGTGGAGCCACCGAAACTACAGGGATAATAAGTTCAAAACAGCGATACTACAACGGGTCTATGTGCAATTGACCCTATGTTATATAATCTTATGATGAGTCCATCCTCTTTTACCTCAGAGAACCCAGACGAAGACTTGCATTCTTTTCCTGAAAACCATATTCCATATGTTGCTATTCTATTCTCTTTGATATCGCCGAAGGCTCCGAACGCGGTGTATATCGATCCACATTTGCGTACAAGTCGGGCAATTCTGAACTGTTTAGCCCATTTTGTCAACAATCCTATGGATTTTATCTCCTCAAGGAGATTTGCCAAATATGGGATTTAGGCAGCAAGAACACCTGACGAAGTAAAAGAAAACGGGAACGGCCCCTTCATTCAGCATCTGAACCAAAAGCCCCGATGCCTTCTCCGGAGATCCACTCTGCGACCGGGCTGTGGTATGCGAGTTCCATAAGGGGTACTATTAGCTTCCGAGTCTCCTCAGAAGAATGCGATCCATGGTTGTCAGCGCAAATTTGAGCGAACCCAGTAGTGCCGATGGCTTACAGGAATACTGATCGCCCGCTGTAGCAACCGAGGCGAGTTCTGCTCTCGATGTCAATATTGCAGCACGTACACTTGCAGCTTCTTCTGATAGTAAAAATGAGATCATACATGAGTTTCAAAAATAGTTTCTTGACGCTTTCGAGACCACGACTGACTGGTGCTCACGTAGTATTTGTTTGGCAACTCCGCCCTGAGCCACAATAGTGGAACAGAACTGGGTCAGGACTAACACGGCCGAGTCTGTTACTTGATTTTGCGAGTCCACAATTTGGTCTTAAACTAGGTGTGGCGCAATCCAGAGCCAACCTAGACCAAAACTGGCTTAAGAAGAAGTAGCCAAACTGACCCACAACAGACGCATTCTCCATTGTTCCGGTTTATCAATTGAAATATGGCGACAAACTGACTTTGCTTCTCTTTGTATCCCTATCGACTCGTAAGTAGCTGGACGGTTAGACTTCGCTCACATGCTCCTCAATATTCCAAATGCATTCTAGATAACTCCGAAGCCCTTCTTGCTTGCTCACCTAGGATACAGCTTGAAATTATCAAGCTCCAAAAATGGGAGTCTTTTGGTATTTTATGAGAAAGTATCCAATGGACTTGTACATGGCGTTAAATGCACATCCAAAGTATAGCAACCATTAGATCCATGCACAAAGTCCAAATTCATATGTCGGCATCCCTTTGATGCACATTTACTGTGATAGACCAGTGAACATTTAATAATATTTCCTCCTTCACTATTAATAAACTTAGTGATATATTTAATAGGAACTATGATATATTTAATAGTAACTAGAAAATACCCTTCTAATAAAGACGGGCACAGATTTCAAACTGCTATAACTGAAGAAAATTTCCCCTGCAGGACAACACTAATTCAAGCTTGCAGTTGTCACTTGAACCATTAGATTCATTTTTATTTCATTTTATTTTTTTCATCTCAAAAGCTTCATTACTATTTCTGATATCTTGCCTCTTGGGGCGGTGAAAGTTGCACTGATGAGCTTATCAAGAAGTCACAAACGCAAATGGCAAACAGTAGAAGAAATACATAAACATGCATAGATTAATCACAGAAGTCGTACAAACAAATTTGGCAAATAAATGCAAGTTCATTTCCTTCAGCTTTACATTCCTTGGGTGCAAATGTGAATTAAAAAGATATAAGGAAAAGAACAAATCAATAATGCATTAAATAGGAATAGAACAAATATTGCAACGGAGATGACTAGAGGTTCAAAGTATGCTATCAACCTAGAGAAACTTTCCATTTAAAAAAAACTTCAGAGAAATTGTGTGTAGAGGAAGATGGAAGTTGTACACTTTTGTATTTCAAGAAAAAAAATTCAAATAATATATTTAATTGGTGGTGACCCTTAATTGTTACACACTCACGCACACCTGTACCCGCACACGCGCGCACACACATACACCCACCCACCATGCACGCATGCACACACATATATATGTATATGTATACATGTGGAAAAATATGTATGAGCTGACAGCTCATTTTGCAGCTCTATGACACATGAGCCCCCTGCTAGTCACATTGACTGTGGGGTTCACGTGTCATAGCGACCCATGCTATATGTATATGTATACGTATGGAATAATATGTACGAGCTGACAGCTCATTTTGCTGCTCTATAACACATAAACCCCCTACTAGTCACATCGGTTGTGGGGCTCACGTGTCATAGAGCTGGCAACTCATTTTACAAATGGCCTAACAAGCACTATACCAGTTTCATGATATATATATATATATATATATATATAATATATATATATTTATGCAGATCTAGAAAAATTCACTTTTTATTTTTAACTTTACATCTAACTGTTAACTACAAAATATTGGTTTCCAAAAAATTAAATTAAATTGTTAACTCACTTTTAGCAAAGTCAGAAACTGATAAAACATATACAATTAGTATATACAATAGGTTAACTTCGTCCTTCTGTTCGTTTCTGATTGTGGTGAAGGGTCCTGGAGAGGAGAAAAGGAAATGAGTCACAGAGGCATATTTTGGATTTGATTCTTGAAAAGCTGTGAAATTGAGACAAACGATCAACATACGATTGATGAATGTATTTTAGCAAGAAAGATGAAATTAAAAGTGTACCTTAAATATTCTTTCCATCATCTTCATCATTCATGTCCATAGGAACTTCATGACGAGGCCTGTTGTATTTCTCGCGAAGTTGCTTAATTGGGATAAAGTCCCCAGCAGAGTCCTCCCCATAAAAGAGGAAAGAAACATAAGGGTGATCAAATCTATCCTGCATCACAAATATTGAAGCATTCTGCTGTCAGAAAATTGATATTGTGTTACAGGCAGTCAGGCACAGTTTGTGTTAAGGCATTTTACGCACCATGTCTGGTTGGTCATTGACTATAAGATTCTCCTCTGCCACTAAAAGGAAAATGCAACATCAGAAATTAGTAATAATGGCCATTTTAAAAGTGCTAGAAAATCAAATCAACAAAAATAAAAGCTACTGGTTAGCATCAGGTATCGGTCAGGTTTCTCTGTGAAATTGAGAATAATTGTATTGTTATGGATTTTTCAAGTGCTAGTGGTAAGGTGCACCACAAATCAAAAACTTACAGATCATATTACGATGCATTATGTTTAGCTCATCTCCAACCATACGCTATAATATTACTCCTAGTACAGGAAAGTCTTGTATTTCCGTTTTTGCAACTTATGCATCGCGTTACCAAAATGAGTTGAAGTAAAATATGAGGTTGTCACTTAAATGTTTACTTACTTTTGTCACATAGTAGGAAGCAGACTTCAGGGAATACTGAACAATGATGAAGGTGAACCCCCCACCCCCACAAAAAAAAAACCCCAACCACACACACACACACACACACACACAAACAAAACAAAAAGAAGCAAAAAAAAAAAAAGTTTCATGATCATTGGTATTCCATGAAATTACAATTCATAACATCAACCCCAAGTTGTGAACGTACTTTTTTTTTGGGAAGGAAAAAGGAAACTATGTTCACAACTTGGGGCTTGATTTTATCAAGGCAAACATCCAAGTATCCCAAGTTGTTAACATTTGGCACCAATAAACAAAGGTTCAGTGCTGTAATTTTACCATAAGCAACAAGCAAATTTGGGTCTGCATGTACATCAACCAGGACCTGCAATTACACATCATTTTAGCGTATTAAGCCCATATTAGCTGTGTCAAAAAAAGCTATAAACATACATTAGTAAATTCCTACACACAAAATATCAAAAAATAATGACAATTGATTAATGAGCTTCTAGTTGAGCCGTAGGTCTATTACTTTCATACAAGAAAGAAAGTCATCCAATATTTAAAAGCTTTCATTATGTGGAAGATAGTTTTCTAGTTCAGTATTGTGTTTTTTCATTTTTCTGAAAAACATGCTGCAGGTCAACATATTCAAATACAAGCAGTTGTCCAAATTTAGTTTAGTTATATATGGTATAGATGGTGATTCTTTTCATATTGCCCTTCGCTTTCTAAATGATTTCTATTGAAAATCATGGCAATAAAGTAGGTAAGTGACATTAGATCAAGTTGAACTAAAATATGGAGAATCCAACATACACGGTCTACTCATAAAAGTGAAAACATTCTGAAATAGAACACTGCAAGGGGATGCCGACATACAGCTTGACAATAAAACCTAGAAAAACACAATATCGAGATGTGATCCAACATAAGTAATAAGCAACGGTGTGGCAAGTAGAAAACGACTAGATCTTGTGAATTCTCATTACTAAAATACAATTTATGATCATCATTTTTCTGGAAGTCATTTTAAGGATCTTATGCATCATATAAGAAACATTTCTTGCTACTTCAAATTTAGTATAGCAGCTATACTCAGGTTATTTCTTCATAAATAGTAGTTATACTCTGCTTTAGTACAACTAAAGGAATATACTATATTGGGAGGCTACACATTATGTTACATGCCACATAAAAGCACATAAAGCACAGAAGAATACTCCTAACCACTGTTTTAAAAAGCCTCTGCCTAGTCCACCTAGGCGTCTGTCTAGACCTAGGCGGTATCTAGGCAGCCTAACTAGCACCTAGCGCCTAGACAATACCTAGGCTTTAGGAGTGTTTAAGGAAGCATTGTCTGCTTACGTAGAATGCACTCTTTAGGCATTGATCATGATTTTTTGTGTTGCAGACTCCACATTCTCCAATCTTTTTCAAACTCTTTTAACCGTTAAACATGAACACCACCACTACGTCCTCCGACCTTTAACAAAACCTCTTCAACCACCACTTAAATGAAGAAAGAAATTTGCCTAGACACCAATCTGGCACCTAAGATTTCTATAACATTAACATTTATTATCAATTATTGTAATTAAAAAATAAAAAAACCTCCTAGGCTTTAGGCGACGGGTTCCAACCCTCCTAGCACTTTCTATAACCTTGTTAGTTATTATCTTGGCTATTTAGCATTTAAATACGCATGGTTTATTATGGATCTAAGATTGTCTTTTTTTGGCAAATTTATATGAATTAACACATGTTTTTATCAATTATTATAATTAAATAATTTTAAAAATAGCCAAACGCCTAGGCGTACACCTAGGCATCTAGGCACTGGCTCAAACGCCTAGTCCGACTGACCTTCTGTAACATTGCTCCTAACTCTAAAAAAACAAAGAGAATTGACACATCCACTTGTGTCAGTCCACTTCTGCCAGTCACTTGTTTTAACATGTTTTACCACCTATTTTCACTTGAATGCTATTGAATCGACAAGTGAAATATGCTATGTTACGGAAAATAATACTATGCTTCAAACATTTTACTTTTTAACGTGATTCAAGATCACATATTCATCCAGATTGGGTAAACAAAGCTACTGCAAAGAAAGAAAGTAACTCATGAGGAGAATCAAATCCACGACCTCATACTGCGTAATACATGATCATTTGATACATCTGTAAATCTCAAAAAGGGACAAATATAACCATTTTTCTACAGATATTCGGGGATCATCATGTTTTATGCCTCATGTCCATGTCAGAATATAGCAATTGCATCCATGCCCACATTATTATGAAGAGATTAATGGGTATCCTTGTCATAGGAGGAGATTTCCCTTCTTGTCGCCTATGTGGCACAATCCCCACCATCCTCATAAAGTAGGCACAAATCCCCACCAACTCACACTCCACCATCCTCATAAAGTAGGCACAAATCCCCACCAACTCACACTCTCTCTCCTACTTTATGAGGATGGTGGGGATTGTGCCACATAGGCGTCAATGAGGAAATCCCCTCCTATGACAAGGATACCCATTAATCTCTATTATGAATTACAAGCTTTCAATCAATTAAATTTTATTACACTGTGTTTGGTAGCACAAAGATAAAGGTAAAGATGAACAAAGAGAAAGATCAAGTTCTCTCTTTAATATATGATATGCCAACGGAAAAGAAAATTCATGATAAGAAAATATCGTTCCTTTCTTTTTCCTTCTGCACACTATTGCACATTGTTTGGGATTTAATTGTTTTGATAGTTGTACTTAGAAAAAAAAAGAAAAGAAAATACTTCAAGTTAAACATAAAAATATCATTCAAGTTAAAGGACATATATCTCTTAGCTTATAGTTGTATTGTGGTAAGTATCATCTAACCTGATAAAATGGCTGAATGGGCCCTTGAAGCAACTTATCAATCTGTGCACGCTCCATCCACGAACTTGATTCACAGCACACAGGATCCATGCCACAAATTACTGCTCGATATCCTACAATTGAAGGCAAACATTTGAATTGAGAAAAAGAAATTTCCAAACATTTCAAGCGGAAGCAAAAACAACACTAAAATAACAAAGAATACATGATCAATCTTTAAAGTTAAAAAGGATTAACCTCCGTTCACTGTTCAATCAAACCAAAAACAGAGAATCATTACCATGATCTGGTACAAATATAAAGCGTCTGAGATCACTTTAAAAATTCATGACAAGCATAGAGATATTTTGCAGCACTATTCAAAAGGATAGAGGCCTTGTCAGTTGTCACACAGATCTCAATGCATAGTAGTTGTGCACATGACCATAGTCACAAGTTTTATGTTTTGAATAATATCACAACACCTTTATGCACTGGTGATCTTTAGTAACAGTATGTAGCAGAAGAATTTCTGAGTCTGACATAATTATTTACATGAAATAAAATTTGCTGACATGATAGCGACCAATTTGGATTTTACATGGGAGTATCAAAATAGATTCAAAGGATTTTTCCATCAAAACTCTATACATGTTGTAAAATAAATGCTCTTATTGACAAACAAAAGGTGAAATCTTGCAAGGTACCGAAGAAATAAAGTTTGTTTTCAGATATTCATCTCATCCATGACACAATTGCTAAATGAAGGTGTGGAACAAATATATCTTCTATCAGCTTTTTGGTCTGACAACTAAAGTTGAACAAATAGAAATGTCTAGAGAGGATAGTAATATCACCCTCCTCAAATCAGGTTACAAAAACTAATAACCAATTATTATATAAGGCCAAAAACAAATAACTAACGTAAGTGAAAACAAAACAGATTTCCTCAGGTTTTCTAGAGAAACACGAACTACTAATAGCTCTAATTAATCCACTTTTTTTTGGTTAAAATCAATTTTGTCTGATATCTAAAATGCTTTTGTTAGAAAAAAACAAATGTATAGCGTAAATATTAAACATTAACCAATAACAAGTACTATAATAATGATAATACAAAGCATATCTAATTTACTCTCTCCCCCTAATTTCACTAACTAATTTGTATTCTTTGACATAGATCTATATTTTTCTGTGTAAAGAACTTCTGAAAATTGCCACTGACTGAAATTTCTGGCAAGAATAGGAGGATCTTGTTCATCGCTGGTCATGGAAAACTTTTGGGAAGAAGAATTTTCCTTCCAATGGACGCACTTGATGGTTTTTTTTAACTCCCTTCATGCTTATGTGGCTTTAAAAAAAATCTCACGGGTCGCACAGGAGGTTAGTTTCAATTTTTGGTAGACTGCCATTTACAAAGTCAAGGAAAGAGGTCATCTAGTGCCATGGACTAATGGACTACATTTTTTGAGTGTGAAAAACCCGGGGGTACAAAGGAAATAGTTCAACAAAGTATATATTTTTCACGAAGAGGTGAGAGATGCTTGCTCTGTACTTTGAACTTCCAAAAAAGAGGAATGAAACTTGGTAAAACTGTGCACAAGAGAACCAGAAAATGAATAATGTACAAAACCTCACCAAATTTCTTATGCCTTACTTTCTGTCCTAACCGAAATGCATATTGTACATTTTCATAGGCAAGAGCTTTTGCTGATGCTGCCAAAGATTCAGCCTGTAGAAAAATAACTACAAATTAGATCAAGAAAAACTGTTAGCATCCTCCAGTATAGTAATGACAAAAATCAAGTCATAGAATTAATTGCACCAATTTTATTGGAGGTCAAAAGCTAATGGAAGTGTTCTTCATACCTCTAGTTTAGAGATTTGATCACGTAAATCAGCTGCCAAAGCATAGTTCTCTTTATCAATTGCTTTCTGCAAGTCTGCCCTGCAAGAGAAGAACCATGTATAAATAAGCTAGTTGAGGAATATGTACAAGCAATGACTTCAGCGTTGTCCTAACCTTCCAAGAAGTATCTAAACATGAAATAAGAATGAAGATTTCTTTGAAACTCGTAGTGTCAACCAATACATATAAACAATTATCTGTGTCATATCAGGTCTTAAGCATGCGGTGATCCAACTGAAATCAACCAATACTTCTAGTGTTGGCTAAAAATGGTAAATGATTAATACAGCTTGCTAGAGGCTATTCAGTGGCAGAGCCAGGATTTGTGCGTATGTTCTTCCTTTTTCTTTTTCTTTTTTTTTCTTTTTTTTTTTTTTTTTGGGGGGGGGGGGGGGTAGAAGAAGCGGGGGAGGGGGTTGCTTGCATGACTTGCTTCTTGTTGATGGAGTGCAATGATCCTTTGTACCCTAAATACCTTAAGGATGATAATTAAGTAAATGATGAAAATCCTAACATATTCGACTAAAACGCAAACCCACAACGCCTAATAAATAAGTTCACATGAGATGTTCATATTTGACTTCAAACTCTAGAAAATATAAACTGAGAAGAAGAAACAAGAAAGGAAAAAAAGAAAGCTTTTGTGTTTATTGGGGATGGGCCAATATTAAATTAACTAATTTGTTAGTTGCGCCGCTTAGTCATTTTCATTCATAGACCTATAACTAAGTCACTTAGTCATTCTCATCCACAAACCCACACCTATTTTTTTTTTTACATTATACACTAGCGCACAACTAAATATATATTGTTTGTATAATACTTTTAGTTAAATGGCTTTTTTCAATATTAATCCATAAATGTTTTACATTTTGAACAGGTCCCTCAAATCATTGAGATAGATATTAGGTAAGTTACGTTTACGTTGAAATGAGTCCCTCCAATCAAGAGTAGACATGACAATTAGAGGGATTAACTTGAGATTACTTATGAATTAAAGATTTAAGGGACTAATATCGAATAAGCTGTGTTAATAGTTAATAGTAGCCAGAGACGCCATGACCCCCCCCCAAGCTCTACTATTTAGGGCTAATACTAAAGCAATAACAGAAGAGGATCTAAGGTAGTAACTACCAAGTTGAATTTAAGCTGCTGAAACTATTAAAACTCTAGATATCACTTATTAGTAACAACTAAAACATGTCGTCTTGCAGGGCTCTTGTAGATGCGGCTTGGCTCAATGCTTTTCCGCATGCTTACGTCAAAGTTGGAACTCCGGAGCTTAGCGATCATTGTAAACTAATTATCAAATGCTACCATGCAAGGGAAATGATGCCTCCTTGATCTCGCTTCTTCAACTTCTGGGCTCTTCATCCAGATTTTGAAGAGATTATCAAGAGGAGCTGGCTGGTGAGTGTAGGCGTATAAAACTGCCTATAGGTCCCTGAACACAGCTCGGCACGGTGATTCAACAAACCAACGAACCATCGAGTGACGTATCTAAACACGAGCGTCAGTCTACAACACCGAAGCCAAGTGACACGCAACGAAGCGGATTAACGAGGCGACAAGGCTAACGAACCGCACGCAAACAATGGAATACATCCACTCGCATGCGGAATCAAACCAACGGTTCGGGGAGTCAACGAGTCATTCAACCATAGAACGGATTCGAACTCAAACATCAAGGCAGATTTACTGCCAAATCAGGATCCGGACACCAAATCAGAGTCCAGATCAACAATAAAACTTGGATAAACCGCGAAACCATAAAACCGGACAACGGACAACACGGCACAACACCTGGAGGACTCGGCCAAAATCGAGCCACCTCTAGGTGGCTCGGTGGCCGAGCCACCCCCGGGTGGCTCGGCCAAAGAGCCACCCATGGGTGGCCGGCCACCTGTGCCAAGGCACAGTTTTGAGTGCCTATAAATAGGCTAGGCATAGCTCATTTTGAGAGGAGGAAATTTTTGGAGGCGAAGCTCTGCTGAATTGAGATCTGAACTTTGGAGCTTTGGAACTTTGAAGACTTGGACATATCAGATCTGATTCTTGGCGATCATCCACGCCAAATAAGGCAGGAGTTCGAGAGAGATCAGATCTGAGATCTACACGGTTATCCTCCGGATCAAAACTTGGTTTTTGATTTCGAGAAGAGTCTCGATTTCGCTTGGTCGATTTCGATTACTAGGGCGATTATTTCCTTGGTGAATTAATCCCCCCCGGCTATTATTTCTTTCGCGAAATAATACCTGTCATATCGTGTAGATCCGACCGGATCTAGATCGCGCGGTGGTTCACGGATTAACCCCGACGCAGGCGAAGAACCCACAAAAGCGAGAGACCGCAAAACAGGATCTCGCGATTCGTTCGAAAAAGGAAAGTTGTAATCTTCTTATTTTTTTCTTTGATTTCGTTGTAACCGGATCTTATAAAAAGACCGGATCTTTTGTAATCGATAAACAATTACTAAAGAGTGTACAATGACGTCAATAAAAGCTACAATTTTTCCCGCGAACAGTGAGCGTCAATGGTAACCTAATGTATCGACTACTCCATAAAATGTGTAGTGTTCGACTCGCTTTATCACCTTGGGCTCGACGAGTTTTTGGAAGAAATTCTAATTGTGTGGCATCATGTCGCAGCAATCTTAATTCCCTTCAAGAAGCAATTCTAACATATAGAGGCTCAACCTCGGTTCAAGCAGAAATTAATGTAAGATAACAACTGAGAGAGGCACTTCATATTGAGGAGGCACCTATGCGGCAACAATCTAAAATCTAATGGCTTCGTTTGGGAGATGCAAATACCACATTTTTTCATGCTTCTCTAATTAGAAGATGTGCTCGGAACTCTATTACTTCTCTAGAGATTAATGGGGAAGCTCATGAGGATCAACATCTTATTCTCCAAGAATTTGTGCTCAGATTCAACAATTTGTTTAACTCTCAATTTCAAAGATCTTTGCTTTCTAGTGGCCTTATAGACGAAGTATTGTGTGATAATGATGCTCGAATGTTAGATGCACATGTCACATTCGAAGAACTTGAGTTTGTTGTTAAGCACATGAACAGAGACTGAGCTCCCGGTTTGGATGGTTTCAACGTGGGCTTTTACCCATCCAATATCTTAGTTTACAGAAAAAACTTCATATTTTTTGGAGGTAACTACCGACAATGTAGATGGATTCTTCGACACTTGAATGTAGAGAAGGGTAAGCTTCTCATCTGGTATCTTAGTTTACCATTACTCTCGTCGAGATTGAGCATTCATGCGTGTGCACCATTGTTGGATTCTTTGTCGAGTAGGTTAGCCTCTTGGAAACATAACCTCTTATCACTTGTTGGAAGAGCTGAGCTTGTTCGGTTGGTTCTATCATCTATTCACCTCTATTGGACCTCCACATTTCGATTGCCGAAAACCGTTATTTAGGGAGATTGATTCTATCTTGCGAGGTTTTTTTCGGCAAGGCAATAAGGGCAAGGGTACGTCCTTAGTCAAGTGGGATACTTGTTGTCTTCCAAAATCAGATAGTGGCTTAGGTTTTCGTGCTCCGAGTGACTGCAACAAGTCGGGTCTTGTCCGATTGCTATGGGATTTTGTCTCTAATCGTAGCGCACTTTGGGTTAAATGGGTGAAACATAAGTATGCTTTTGGGAGCTCTAGTTGGACTGTGGGGGTTCGATAATCAAGCTCCTGTGCTTGGAAAAGTATTCTTGGTGCTCGTGACTGGTGTTTGCATCTGATTGGTTATAGTCACTCACTACTTGGGATGGGGATGAAAGAGCAATTTGGTTACCCTACCTTGATCTCGTTTTATTTTCAAATCTGCATGAGATTCCATTCACTTGCTGGCGGTTATTGTACCTTGCACTCGCTTTGTTTGGTTTTTTGGTCATATCCCACGATATGCATCTTGCCTTTGGAAGGTATTCTCCTCATGTCTTCTCACTCAGGATTTTCTTCATCGTCGTGACATGTTTATTACACCCCAGTGTTGCTTATGCTACAATGCTTATGAGACTCAAGCTCACTTATTCTTGGAATGGTCTTTTGTGAGGAATGATTGGGTATTGAATCTTAAGGATTTTATTATGAGAAGAATCTCATTTCAATCACTTTTTGATGAAATAACGAGTATTGATGATGTAGCAAAGATTAGAGGGAAGAACGTTAGGAGGAGATCTCTTTTGCTTCGTGCTTCTGTTTGTTATCATGTATGGATGGAAAGAACTTGTCGCATGTTCACTTCTTATGTTGTGAAATCACCGGCTCAAATCACTCATGCAATTACTGCTACGTCGGGACATCTTCAAGATGAATAGCATGTTTCTTTGGTGCTTGTATTGCTCGCGGTCAACCGGGGATTGCACATTTTTTCTAGCATTCATTTTGTTGATGGCGTGCTTCTTGGGGGCTGTATGGAAAGTTAATAACTTAGTTTTTGGACTTGCTCAGAATTATTGTAGTTTTTGTCTACTCTGGGCCCTTATTTTAGGGTGTCATGCATTATACATATTATTTTCCTTTTTAATGTAAGGGAGCTTTGCTCTGCACTTTTCCCGGCAAAAAAAGTTAACTGAAACCATGACCAATACCAAGATTTCAAACCTTCATTTGAGACGTGTAAGAAACGGCTTACAATTGTCTCAGCATCGTCCAATTAACAAAATCAAGGACGAACACTGAGAACGACATAAACGTGTCTAGAAAGTTGACACCGTTACGGCTTCATATCGAAGTATTCATGCTGCGTAGCTAAACTTCGAATAAATTCTAGCGCACGAAATACTCGGTAGCAGCACTTCACTCAGCATCAAATAAATTCCTAGACTACCCTTGTGTTACACAAGCTTTAACTACATAATCAATTAGGTAGGTTCTACCTATATGCCCCATGGCAAAAGCACTCACCGCAGGCGCAAAAGAGTAATCGCCTTATCTTGAGCCTCGCTCTTCGACGACGACCCCCTTTTCTCTTCCCGCTGCTTAACTATTTGCGTCTCGACCTACGACGACAAGAATTAGCTCCGTCATCGCAAAAAGAAACATAAACCCACCCCCCAAAACCAGCAAACGAATTTACCCACCTCAGTGAGCTTGCTCCTCAGCTGCTTAGCCGCATCGTACTGCTCCATATTGAGAGCGCACTGGACTCGGGTCGCCAAATCCAACTGAAAGAAGAACATCAAGACGTCCTCGTTGGCAGCCTCGCTCCGTTCCAAGCCCGCCTCCGTCTCGTTCCCGCCGCCTCCGCCGCCGCCACTGAACAGCCATGAAGCGCTCATGGTGCTCGACCGCCTCCGCCATTTCTTCGAGTGAGATCTCGAGAAACAACGGCGATGGAGGGATGATGATCCCTTGATGAAAGAGTTTGGGGAGGTTTTGGTTGGAAAATTCGGATGGTTTCTGGGTGAAGTAAAGATCGGAGAGGTGCTTGAGTTTGTTACTGAAAGAGACTGCATCGTTTTGAGTGATGAGCTAAAAAGATGAGATTTTGAGAGGGGGTATTAGTTAAACCCTAGAGAGGATTTGATTTCGGGGGAGGAGGAGGGGGGTGGGACCCGCAGAGCTCACGACTGCCGATTGTTTACGAAGCGATTTTGTTGCCGGGAACTTGAGTTATTGAATGACGGGTTTGCCCTTGAGCGCTAGATGGGCCGGGATTAACAGAGTGGGCCAGCTGTGTCGTCGATGCGGTTGATCTTGGGGGAATGTTTGGCATTTTCCCACCGTCCTCGTCAGTAGGGCTTAAGCTGTTAAAGGAGTCAAAATGTTATTTGGGTAAGCTCGGGCTAACTCTAGATTTGATTTTTTTTTTAGTTCAAATTTGGTCATTTATCCAGGATAGGAATTGATCCACCCTCTAATTGGTTAAGGGGCAAGTAGCCAAACACATTCATTGTGTGCTGCATCTAGGGGGTGTTTGGCTGTTCGAAAGTAAATTGAAAATAAGTAACTTGTTTTTTTTTCTTGAAAATGATTTTCACATCCATGTTAGTATGCAAGGTAAATGCGGCGTTTGATTGAAAAACAAAATCATTTCCTTTCTTCTTGTTATCGGTAAAGTCAAGAGTTAGTCTGACAGCTCAATCGGATATCTCCACCTGCTATATTTGCAAAGATTGTGGATGTAAGACACCACCACCCGATTGCAATCACAAACGGCAATTACGGTATTATCATGCCGAGGGTACGCAGCTTCATAGTTGACTTGGGTGAGAGTATAGAAAATTATGCATGCAAGATTAATATTGTCCCCGCATGATTCAAAAATATAGTACTAAGAGTCTAGGAGTTGATGCAATCATTTTTATTTACTTTTATTTTATTATAGTTTACTTTTATTTTATTTTAACTTGTACTGAAAGTTTTGTGATGCACAAATAAGGACAAATTTTCAAAACCGTCCCATTTGCGATTTTATTCCCAAAAAACAATCCATTTCCTCTTTATTTGTAAAAACCGTCCTGGTTTCAGCCTCAGCGCTGAAACCAGGTCGGTTTTTACAAAAAAAAAGTTCCGAAACTTCACGGGAGTTCAACTCCCGTGAAGTTTAACAGCTTAATTAAATAGCTGCTAAACTTCACGGGAGTTGAACTCCCGTGAAGTTTCTTAGTTAAAAAAAAATTGAGCTGTGGAACTTCACGAGAGTTGAACTCCCGTGAAAAGTTTAGCAGCTTAATTAAATGATTGCTAAACTTCACGGGAGTTCAACTCCCGTGAAGTTTCGAAACTTTTTTTGTAAAAAACGACCTGGTTTCAGCCCTAAGGCAGAAACCAGGTTGGTNAAAAGGGTGTGTTTTGAAATTTTATCCGCACAAATAACTCAAAGCGGTTTTGGATCTCTTTGCAAAATTGTTAATGGGATGGTCACTAATTTTTGGTTGAGCTTGTTGGTTATATTAGCTCAATGGTTTTGGATCTCTTTCCAAAACGTCACTGGCAGGGTCGCTAATTTTGGTGGGATGTAATGGCTCAATTTTTGGCAAACGATGCTTTAGTTGATTAGCAAAGTCAATAAATATACTACTCTTTCCATAAAAAAGTGGGGGAAAAAAAGGAGAGGGTAGTTACATCGTGAAACATTAGATGTAATTATATACATGCATAGCATTTGTGTCCATATTTTGAAACATCCTAATTTTAGAGGATAGATTTCTTATATTCATGTAATCACATATTGATGTTTGTCAATTAATTAATTAATAAAAACTATCAATTGGGTGAATATTGATGTGCAACCCATGCCAAGTTATTGCTTCTCAATTTTTTTCAGGAAAGAGTCACAATGCAACCACACAACAGAGGTCACGTACAATATTTAGCATGAATATATGACACCAAATCCAAGCAGTCAACAATACACGCAACCCATCATTCCAACATCAATTTTGCTAAAAAGATCAATTACATTCCCAACAACGGCAGAATTATCCAATTAATCAATCCATTAGAACCACCTTAAAAGTCCAAAACAAAAAGGTATCCTCATCACATATTTGAAATGATATCAACCAAATGTGAGCAGCTCACTAAACTTACTGTATATTAGCGTTTCGGTACATCATTTACTTTTAGAGCAAAAAAATGTCCTCATTACATGTTTGAAACGATATCAACCAAATGTCAGCAGCTCATTAAACTTGCATATATTAGCTTCTTGATACATCATTTTCTTTTAGAGCGGATGACGGTTCCAAGCCAATCATCTGGAATATCATGAACCTCCCCTCTCAAAGCTCTTCGGCAGTGATCTGTACCAGCCTGCATATTTGATCCTTCATGACTTAGAATCATCAAGCATTTTGTTTTCCTCTCTACTTTTGCAAACAAGATCATACCTTTGTGATATAAACATCGACGCCAAGTTTAGCAATCACAGCAGCTTCTAGTATTTTGGTCTCCATCCCTCCAGTTGTGTCATGGGCAGCAACTGTAATCTCAACTGCCAGCAGGACATACCAATTTTAGGATATAAAAATAGACAGAATCAAGAGAAGGAGGGTGACAGGATTCTAGGCAACCTTAATGAAGCCTTGTAAATTTGAGACATAATATATTTCATGTGAAAGCAAATATGCTAGGTTACCGGGTTGAGTTGGTTAAGGTTTGAAATTAAAATTGCTTTAATGCACAAAGCATTTACTTAAAAGTAGGGGACTGAAACAAACAAACGTATTATTTAAATGAATTTTTTCATTGATACCATGGGCAATCATGAACACACCTTTTCCTTTCATATGATCTGGTGTGGGCTTAACAATTGACCAGTCTCCGTCTTCTCCTACAGCTGTCATATTCACAAGCCAGTTTATGTGGCATCTCTTTCCATCAAATTTCAAAAAGGAAAAAAAGGACATCTATAGGATATTGTAGAGGAAAGATTAGTTTGTTAATATGGAAGGATATTGCAAACATAACAAAATTCTTTGATATGAATACTCACCAATCTCTCTGAGGAGTATGGCTTTTGGATCAGTTGGTGGCCGATCATATACCCCTAGGACATCTGTCTAATAGATTAAGATATAGGGAAGACAACATAGATTTGAGTACAAACTTTTCAAGGAATAGACGCAATGCATGTTTTATTTTGGCGGTACATAATTCAACTAAAACATTACATAGTATAAACAAATATCTTTAAACCTAGCAAATAAATTTCACTTAGGAACTGCCAAACATCCAAATAAACAGAAACCGAAATGCAAACTGAAGTAATCTTTGAATTGAGTTGAAATTTCAAATTTTAAATCATAGAACAGATACATGTGCAAGCACAAGAAACAACATAAATTGCAGTTAGTTAGCAACTAAAGTATCAATGCGCTTATTTTCTGATCCAGAACACTGTAGCTATTGCCATTAATAGCTGCGTATGTGGAAAGGATACAAGGAATACAACATATTCTGGCATTAGTAGCTGAGCAAGATGACGTATGATTACATCCCCACTTAGGATAGTGCAGTCCTGGTAAAGTTAATTGCCTCTAACAGTCAAAACCAAGTAAAGAAACACAAACGCATTAAACACCAGACAAGTCATAGCATTAACCAGCATATTCATCCGCATATAGGGGGGGGAAAGAACAAAGTGATCGCTCATGTAAGCTGAAGAACTAACCAGTGTGTGATCAATGACTGCATCTCCGTGCAAAACCTAAAAAGAAGGGTTATCATATAAGTCACTGGAGCTAAGTAGCAGCAACAAATAGCAACAAAGAACACAAGCCATCCTATGATGCCAATCCCGTATTAAATTTCAAGGTCAAAACGAAAACCACAAATAGCAGATACATGTAGAGTGAAGTGGAAACAGTAAAAATGCAGTAACAAAAAAAGAAGAAAAGAAAAAGAGAGAAACTCCAATGCCTGCTATAATACATTAAATCCCTAGGATAGCCCTGACATATAAGAAAGGCATCTTTGTGACTCTGAACATCAAAAACCATGAATAGATGCCATTTACGATTCTCCAGAAAAAATGTCAGAATAATAAGCAATTTGTTCGTGAACTTGCAGTACATTGTCAGCAACAATAATTTTATATCGTTTGACTTTTTGAATCAGTTATTTATTTAGTTTGTCATCATAAAACTTATCGTACTTGTTTAAAGTACTTGAACTGGTGTAAAGATGAAACCAAAGGTGGAAACAGATGTACCGGTTGCTTGCGTCAGAAATAAGTCATCTTTTTTTTTATTGTTAGCTTGTTCCTTAGTTAGCAAGATGAACTAAATGGTTAAATGTAAATAAGAATGGTGAATATCAAAATAAACAAGCCTGCCAACAAACTTATCTTTTAACCAGGGTAATCTCTCATGATGTACCTTGCTACTACTTTATCATTACAAGAAAAGTAGTATTCATCGCTCATCACTAAAAGTCGATGCCATTTACTTGAGAATGCATGCCCAAGATAATTTGATGCCACACAAAGAGTTGTTATGCCATACTTAGGCACTGTATTTAATAAGGGAGAAAAAGCAAACAGCTATATTCGCAACAAATTCTACAGCTCAGAAGTTAGGCCAATTTTCAACTTACAGGGACAAAACCAGCTTGGAGAGCCTCTACAATCTGAGAAGCATCAGCAGAAGCAATCTGTAAACAGGTGCCAGTATGAGCTGGTAGTGATTGTGCACTCATTTCACATCGCAAGTTTAAAGATAGAAAATGAAATGGCCATGCTACTGAAGCCTTTGTATGAAAGTGGAACTTATTTCTAGCAGGATCCCTGATATATTAGAATTAACAGTTCCCACAAAGGGATGTTTAAAATATAAGACAAATGGGATGCAATTTAATAAAAAGACATCACAAGTGCTCCTGACATTTCTTTCACGGGTTGACCATCCACAAGCAAATGGTGACATCCCAACAGCCGGTATCCCCTCTGCAAGAGAACTAATAAAATTTATCAGGCAACATTCCCTAATTTTTTTTGTACTTTAGACTAACCATCAGAAGCCATCAGATTTTAGCCAGGATTTGCTATTATTTGTCTAATTGCGGGTAGACTAATAGTAGTAAAGGGATTTGGAATCCTGATAAGATCGCAGAATGACACTTGATACAGCAGAACTTAACTACTTAATTCATTCAGACCCTTAGCCATTCAATTCTTTCAATAGATGAGAAAGAAAGGAAAATGTGTCATAAGCGTATATATGTATGGATATTTTATTTTGTACAGATATACATCATGTCGAGATATAGAAGCAAAATAGAAAATTAGATGAATACAGAAACACTGCCAATCAAGAAAGCTCACTTTTCATCTGTAGACTCAGTAGCATTCTGTTCAGTATATATGTGCAATGACATGCCCAAAATGATGACCTATCCTTTTATGAGTTGACTGAAGGTCTTTTCCATGGACAAAGGCAATATATTTGTCCAAGAGGAATAAAGATCGCCTCATCTATTCTTTCAGACTGTTGGAGATTTATCATGGCTAAATAACACTATAATCCCTTCCCGACTCAAACAGATAAAAGTATTAAACGAATTACAGCGTGGGCCAATAAGGTGATGGTAAAGATCTGAGACCATTTAAAAATATGAAAAAAAGAATAAGCTTTCAGGTTCAAATTAATTTGAGTCTGTATCTAGATGTTATCACCTTTACTTTTACATTTTCCTTTTTAGGAGTCAGGGTGCAACTTTTCCATTTCCTTTACGGACCCAATACAACGAATTACCATCCTTCTTGACCATGCAATAAAGGAGAATTACACTAGTGGAGCGTAGAGTTAAAACCTGCTCTTCAACTTTCCAATCAGTTGTTAACAAGGAATTTCTTTTTCCCCATGTGATAATCCTTGTTGAGTATATCAGCTTTTTGCCACTCAAAGTGATATTCCAAGGAGATAATGTACAACTTTTATATTTTTGCTTCTTCCTTACTTTCTACTTAACTAAGGCCCCTGCCTCTGACCACATGTCAGCAGTCCCTACATAAGGTTCCTGCATTGATATGCTTATCCTGATCTACCTTTGTCAACTTAAATTTCTTAGAACTTTCAGTGCACATCTCAGTCTCATTGTTTTTAGCATTAGATCTTGAAATAGCAGTATCCCTTCATCTAAATCATATTACTGAACCTTAGACCGCAGCAGGCACAAACGGGATCTCATCCAGATACGGATAGTAATCAAAATCTAAAGAAACTTTAAGATTATAATCTTAAGGAGAATAAAGCAAAATGAGCTTGAATGTCTTGGTTTTTGTAAAGGCAAGGGTTCTATCATCCAGTGGTACGTATAAAGCTTTAGATGGGACAAGCAATTAATAAAAGGCATACAGAGTTCGATATCATCATTTCCCACTTTCCGTCATATTATGTGCCATGTAAAAGATAAAATGCTACATGAGCAACAACTGTCATATCACATCATTTTGAAGACATCCTCTAAAGTAATTGTGTTTCAGTATAAGTAAGGCCAGTTTGTTACCTAATTGGTCAATCAACAGGATGATATACCACATTAGTTATCTTACGCTTCATCTTCCAGCTATACCCAAGTATAAACAAGAAGCTACCATGGAATTTAGACCCCTCATTCAGCAGCTTTGGATATAAGCAATTTAATGATAGCCTAGCTGATGTAGCAATTTATTTGCAATCCAGATGGTTTTGGCAAACTAAGCATTGGTAGAGAAACCCAAAAACATTTTTCGACAACAAAATCAAGCAGGATGGCATAATAAATTTCCTCAGGAGTAAAAGTTGTTTTTCATAAAATGAAGACAATTCAAATTTTAAGGAGAACTTGCCTCGTGCTAAAGCTCTCACAATTTCAAGGTTGAGTGATGTCACCTGTAAATATCAGAAAGAAACATAAGCAATAAAGAAAATAAAAGGAAATAGATCCGAAATGTGAAAAAGAAATAATTATTAAAGGTGGAGATCAGATGAAGCTGTAAGCCATCTAGTTAGATGAGCCAATGAAGGTGCGTCAGAAGGGGCAGAAAGAGAAACCTTAAGAAGATTATGCCTTTACATCCCTTTTATAAGCAAGAATCAGTTTGATAATAAACTATATTTAGGAAATTGATATTTCCATGTTGAAGATGAGGCTTAGATCAATGTTATAAAAACGGATACCGCATCATGACTAATCATATGGATTGAATAAGATTAGGTTGTGAAGCGAACTGACAAAGATACACCAAGGTTGATAATGACTCTTATTTTATATAAGCTTTGTAAAAGAGGGAAAACACATTTGAATAACTAAACCACTGTGTTGTTATATGTAAGAATTGGATCATAAGAAGATATGACACTGTTTAATGTATAACAGAATAACTGGAACAAGAATCCAGAACGACACATCCCCTTCCACCCCGCACCCATGACGCCTCTACCTCACTGCCTCTGCGTGTGTGCAAATGTTGAGTGGGTGTATATCTTGTATTTGTGGGTGTTCATCTCTATGTGTGTGTATGTGTTTCGGAGGGTGGTACGTCTATATCGCCTCTTAAACTCAACCTGCTCCCTCCAACCATCGTCCACATAATTCATCACTGATTTTGCTACTACTTCATGCATGGTAAGTCTCAATCCAAAACCCAAATAACTTCTTGTCCATGTATATTTATGGCAGAGATACATTTTAATGGTGTGAATTATCCATTTCAAAACAGAGATTGACACTTAGTACATTGGAGGAGACTATTTCTACTAGATCACCTAACTTTCACAGAATCTCACATGTACATGTTGCGTAGCCACATCGGACTTTATCCCTCCCTTTCTCTCAACCAATTAATTTGTCACAACCAGGATACTTGGTCTTTATACTACATATGCACATATATTTACACAGAATGCACCCATGATATTTTAACTCTTCCCTTCTTCTAGATCACTTAAATTGTTAACAGGATCAGCAAAATGAGGAAAAGGGACTCATGTCTAGGTAGCTTCTTTTTCTTCAGATTAAAATTGCATATTTTGTCTCGGGCTTCATCAATCTCCTTGTTTTCTCTATCCATGTTTTCTCAGCTGGAGTTTGAGTTGAAACAATGCTCAAAAGGTTCTATATGCAGAAATCAATACAAATCATATAGTTGTCTTGATGATCATATATCAGCCTATGGCTCCAATACACTTGCAAAGTTTGCAAAATGCAGGCTGACATATTTACAACATAAATAAGAGCATAAGCATACGGAGAGGACTAAAAGACAAGATAGAACTCTTCGACAAATATAAAAATCTAAAAAGGTAGTGTATGTAACAACAATGGCAGAGCCAGAAACATGATCTTTGATACGTGTCAACAGGTGACAGTTCTCCTGTGGAAGAGTTAATAAACCTCAGTTAAAAAAAACCAACAGCACTTAATTTGTTCTTAAATTTTGTGTCATATTCAGAATGTAACAGCAGGTTCGATCGCAATTACCAATATTCACATGTAGCTCATCTAAAAGGAAGCTCTGTGTTAGATAAAATGCAACATTCTCCACTACAACACTTTACTGCAGCACAACATATGGTTTGAGTAACTTAATTTTTTTTATATAATTTGTATTAGATCTAATATACCTTACTAACAGAAATTTGAAATTTGAAAAATTAATCATAACTAAGAAAAATAGGAAAAAGATAAAACAGAAGGGATAAACAAACAAGAACATAAAGAATTGAAGTCTTATATGCAAGAAAATGAGTGTAGTGACATTGACACTCACAGAAATTCGAGTAGCAACAAAACCAGCCTTGACAAGAGGCAGATGTAATCCTCCTTTATGGACACCGGATCTGCTAGCTTGAAAGTGGCCAAAAGAACCTACAAGTAATAGAAAGCAATCTAGTAAGACTATAATATATAATAAATAATAGAATGATTGAAAAAGTATTGGTAGTACAATACTTCTCCTAAAGGATCAATGCATCCGACTATATACCCACATACGAAACATTTCGCATGCTTAAGTAGAAATTTATATATCTTGATGATGCAAGCCCATCTATTAGCAAGGTTGGCGTCAGCATCTTAAATCAGATTTGCATTCAAATTTCTCTAGGCAAATGTGAATGTCAGGTCAGCTGTGGACAAAGGGGTCAAGTAACCACCACTTATCCTAAGGTAATTATATAAGATAAACCAAAGCTCTAGTCAATACCTATCCATAAATACTCTTCAAAAGTAAACAAAAGGACAATAACCCCCTTCATTTTCTCATGACATGGGGAGTTTTTATAGGTTCTAAAAATATATCAAATATGGAATAATTTGGACAGAAATTAGATGATATGCAAATAACTTTTTAGGAGAGATACCTAAAAGTGAGGACTCACAAAAACAATATAATTCAACAATTTTATCAAAAATTAAACTCTATATATAAAGTTATAATTTGGCTGTATTTCTTCAACTAAAATTCATTAGTACACTCTCCCTCCAAACTCACAGCCGGTATTTAATTATGTTTTTCATGATCACATAGGTTAATCTCGCAGGTCTTGTTTAGATAATGGTTTAAGGGGGTTTGGGTGACAGGATATTGATTTTGAGGAATAGGTGATAGTTTTTTCCTATTTCTTGGTTTGACTGCACAGATTAGATTCATGTGGTTCTGACTCCTTTCTATCTTCCTGTTGTTGTTGATAGAGCTCTGTTTAACCCTGATTTTTTATTAGTCCTATTTAATCTGTATCATGAGATAAGTCTACTCTCATGAATGTCCTCGTGATTACGTTAGTCTGCTTTTTTATTGGCAGGACTGAGAACAGGAAGGTCACAAGTTAACCCCTAATGCCAAATGTAACTGCAGGTTATTGAATCACATGCTCAAATTGACCGTTATTATTATTGTTGATTACGAGTTGAATTGTATTTACTTGCATTTCTGTGAAAACTTATGCATTTGCAACTGATGATTTGCATACATTCAATTAATAGTGTGTACAAACATTTACAAATCATGTATATGTATATATGTATGTGTGTGTGTGTGTGTAGATAAAGTAATACTAGAACACTATATTCACAATAGAACATAAGCTGTTAATGTGTTGCAGGGGTAATAATATAGGAGAACATGAGATTTTAAACTCGCAATGTCCATTTAGCCAAACCACTACTTAGTACAGGATCCCACATACTTCTGACAATTCATAGAATTCAATATATTCACAGTTGAGTATAGTACAATATTCTTCCAATGCTCTATCGCTAATTAGGGTTCTTAGATTTTGGTCTCTAGTCCCAATAAAGATTAAAACTTCAATACGAACTTTAGGTTACCTGCTCCGTGAACCACAATGAAGCTGTTATCCAACCCCAAATCCGAACCCCTCAGCTCATCCACATCCGAAACGATCGGGTCCCCACCTCGCCTGCTCCAATCCATTCCGACCACCTTCGCCGGCGACGAACTCTCCGGAGACACCATTGCCCGTCGCAGCTGCGAGCAGACCGTTCCCAGACTCTCCTCATTTATGCTCTCGAGCTCGTTTTTGTGCGTAATCGCAGCTCCACCTGCAAGTAGATTTGATGTGAGGTAGGAGAGCGAGAGGGGGGAGAAGAAAGGGGGAAGTGAGTAGAGACCTAGCTTTACGATGCAACGGAGCTTTGATTTGGGGGATTTTAGGGTTAGGGTTTCTTCTGAAGTGGAGGTCGTCGAGTTTAGATCCTTCACTGCGTCGGCCATTAGGTACACTTCTTCAGGGCGTGGGGACGGAGAGAGCTTGAAGGGGAGTCTGTGAAGTACTGAACTCTGCTATGAAAAATTGCGTTCGTCTACGCTCCTTTTTGGGTTTTCTTCCAAGATAAAATTGTGTTAAGGCCAAATAAATAAAATAAAGCTCATGTAAGGAACTCTCATGTATTAAGGGGGTGTTTGTTTCACCCAATTTATAGAAAAGGATTGGTATTTGGATCTGACAGTGGCAAAAGTATAATATTTGGATTCTTTATTAATCCTATTCTAGAGTTTGTCTGGGAAAGAATTTATGGATTACAAAATCCATAAAGGTGCAACAGTAAGGGTTTTTTTTATAGAAACCCAAATCGGAGGTTTTCGAGAGGATTTGGGCGAGAATTCTGACATCGTTCTGACACCTCTCGACTTAGAACCCTAGATCTGGATTCGCAACTCCCCATTTCTTCTCCCGCCTCTCCCCAAGCTTCTTCGCGCCTCCTCTCCCGCTGTTCTTTGATATTGTTTTTGGGTTCGGTTTGTGGATTTGTCCTAGATTTTGGCCTCGGCTTCTCCCGCGACCCGTTGTTCTTCGATATTGTTCTTGGCTTCTCTCGTTGTTCTTTGATATTGTTCTTGGGTTCTTGGGTTTGCTGGTTGTTCTGTCCGGTGGGGTTTGTTGGCAACGACATCAATTTCTGAATTATTCCATTCGCAACGGCTTGGCATCTGCAGGTATAAATCATTTTATCCCTTTTAATGTGATTGTTTCATTGTGCTTGCTCTGAGGAAATTAACATTGGTAGTGGAATTATTGATTTTTGTATATGTTTAATTATTGAAACAAGGGTATTGTTCGGTGGGGTTTCATTTGGTATATAGTTGATTATTGATTTTAGTAGAATTATTTGTCGGTGGGGTTTCATTCGCAACTGCTTGGCATCTACATGTCTAATCTCTCATGAAACAAGGGTTTTGGTATATAGTTGATTATTAATTTTCGGTTCTCTGGAATTTTTGTTATTGCAGTCCTTCAAATGACTAAACCATGGAATGAAAACCTTAATTATATTTGTTTGATCAGCGTGCATGCTTAGGGTGCAAAATATGAAATAGTTGTTTCACTACTTGATATAGATTTGTGGATATGTAGATATATGGTTTTACGATTTCAATATTTTTATTAGTTATTTAATTATCTTTAGTTTCCAAACATTATTACTGTTAAGTTGTAAATATATGCTAATTTTACAATGGATTTAGATGGATAACGTAGATGAAAAATAATTAAAGAGGATTTGTGCTAATACAACTGTGTCTGCGGTGGTCACAATAATTACATGTATTCTGAGAATGCATGCTAAGCGCAAGACAATTTCATCTTGTACGAAGGAGGAAAAAATCAAAAAAAAATTATTGCAGAGAAGCTCACTTCAAACGTGTATTGGAAGGCTATAGTGATAGTTGCCGGTCTTACATTAGAATGAGACCGAGTGCCTTTTTTAAACTTGCTGAAGTAATGAAAGAAAACGATTTATTAGAGGATTCCAGACATGTTCAAGTCGAAGAACAACTCGCTATGTTCCTAAGTATAGTGGGGCATAAAACTAAAAATAGAATAATAAGGACTGAGTTCATAAGATCGGGAGAAACAGTGAGTAGGTATTTCAATAAAGTCCTACAAGCAATGAATGGATTACGTGATCGCTATATGAAGCAAGCTCCAAATGAAGTTCCTGCAGAGATTACAAACAACCCAAATTATTTTCCTTACTTCAAGGTAAAAATAATACATACACCTCAACATCTGTTTTAAGTGAATATGTATTTTATTGAATATTTTATAACTTATATTTTTTTATAGGATTGCATTGGTATGATAGATGGCACACACGTTGACGCGGTATTATCCAGTAACCTAGTTGCCTGTTTTAGAGGGAGAAAAGGTGTGACACAAAACGTCCTAGCAGCATGCACCCCTAATAAACTATTCACCTATGTCCTAGCTGGGTGTGAGGGAGCAGCAAATGACTATAGGATATTACAAGACGCTTTGTCGAGACCACAGCCTTACGGGCTTCGAGTTTATGATGGTATTAATTCTTACTTGTTCACAATTAAAAAAAAAATTAAATACTTATCAATAGTGTGATATGAAGATATTGTTCTATTTAATGTAGGTAAATATTACCTATGTGACGTTGGATACACCACAATGCCAGGCTTCATATCCCCATATCGCGGTGTACGATGTCATTTATAAGAACACACCGGTAGGACACCAAAGAATAGAAAAGAGTTGTTCAATTTAAGGCATTCCAGTTTAAGATCAAAAATTAAATGCACATTTGGTATATTGAAGAACCGGTTTAAAATACTATCGGCAAAGCCAAATTATCCATTTCCCACTCAAGTGGACATTGTACTAGCGTGTACCGTGTTACACAATTTCATTGCTATAGAAGATCCAGATGATGATATTTTAAATGAAAATATAGAAATTGATGAAGATAATGGGGAAGTGACAAATGAAGATGACTCAAGTGTGGTGGATTATACTCAAACTAGGACACAGAGAGAGGATTGAGATGAAAGAAATGAATGGAAGGAGCTACGAGATCAAATTGCTTGGGCGATGTGGGTGGATTATTGTGCAAAGTATAATGGTGGTAACACAATGGAAAGTGGATTAGCTTAATGTGATGTTTGTTCTATCTCGATGTAATAACTTGTATTATTTTCTTACTGTTCGCAACTATCCATTTTAATGTTTCTTAGCATGTACTAAACATTACTACGATTATCATCTTCTCTCTTTTCATGTTGTTTCTATACATGTAGGCGTTTCATATATTCCTTTTCTAACGCAAATTGCTAAATACATGCATATTATATATTGATTTATATTTCTTTAATAATAATGTCTACTTGTTCAATATATATTAGGTATGGTTAACAATCAGGCAGATAAGCAGCCCCTGCCTTCTCATTCTAATGCTCCGCCAAATCCAACTGCTAACATAAACATGAACTTCACGCCTGTTCAACCACAACCTTTCTCTTCACCCCGTCATACATTCTCACCATTCTCACTATACGATGTCAATTATGGTGGAATGACACAGCAACCAATGTCATACGTGAGCATGTTAAGCAGTCCACAAGGTTTGCTATTTCCCACAGTCAGTTCTCAAAGTAGTGGACCTAATCAATTTTCACCAAACACTGGTGATTCACCAGAGAAGGTTATTCATGACGTTGATGGTGAGGAGCACACTTCACCAATGAAAAAAGGGAAAAAATTAGCTTATAAGAAATCGGTCCTGGGGACAAGGTTGAACTCAAGAGGTGTGGCTAATAAGTTTTGGCTTACAGAGAACTATGACGTTCTCATTCCTTATCTTGCAGAATTAGCATTAGCTGGGCTAAAGCCAGACAAGAACTTCAAGGCAGAAGCTTATAAAATGGCAGCAATGAAAATCAACATGCAATTCCGGACTGATTTCACTCATATACATGTCATTAACCACTTGAAATGCTTGAGAAACAAATTCAATGACATGAAGGCTTGCCTTGATATAAGTAGAGCTGGGTGGGATGAAATAAATGAAATGAGTACACTGGATGACGAAACCTTGAAATCATGGTCTCAGGTATAACATTCAGCATCTATATTGTCATTAGTAATTAATACATTTGGTTCACAACTTATGATTATTTGTTATTGCAGGACAAATCCAAATCTAAGTTCAAAGCGTACATAAACAAACCCCTACCTCACTTCAAAAATTTACAAACTATCATGGGTGATGACCAAGCTAATGGTGAATTTGTTAGGTCTGTGTATGCTAACATTGGGTCTAGTAGGTCCATACCTATTCCTGAAGATGATAGTGAAATTCCAGAGGAGAGTGGAACTACACCACAATCTGATGCTTGTAACCAACAACAACCGACTAGATGTAAGTCTAAGAGTAAAGACAACATGAATTCATCTTCTAACAAGAAACCTAAAAAATCAAATCGTGAAGAGGAAATGTTATGTGCCTTTATTGACTCAATGTCTCAGTCCATGAGAAATCAACATATTGTTCATTGGACTGAGCAGTTGGCTGCAGCGTTGAAGGAACATAGGAATGAATATTCTGAGGAATTTCTGGATAGGATTTTAGATCACTTATATGACAATGAACGTGAAGCTAGAAGGTTTTTCATAAAAGGAAAGGAAGGTCAGCAGAAGTACATTACCAACCTGATTAACGACCAAGGTTGGTCTGTTAACTAATTTGTTCGGTTTGGATTACATGTTGATGAAGCATTTTGTTGTGCACGCGTATATGTTGTTGCGCATATATCATTTTGTTATTTGCAAACTATTAATATTGCAATACTTCTTGTTATGAAAATGCTATGACGTCTTGTAATTAATGAATTGGTACTTTTTAACTTTTGATGCAGGTAAGTATGGATAGGCATGACCAATGAGTTCTTAATGTTGCTCCTTTGCTTTTGATGACAGGTGAAGCTAATTTGTTGCTCCTTTTGCCGTGGGTTTTTGGTTGTCAGGTGCACGCGTATATGTTGTTGCTCCTTTGCTTTATTAGCTCTTTGGCTTTGGGTTTTTTTGCCATCAGGTTTGTGGAGCTTGTGTAGCTCCTTGCCTTTGGGTTTGTGGCTGTTATTTGGAGCTTGTGTAGCTCCTCAATCTCTTTGGGTTTGTTGCTGTTTTGTTTTAAGCTTGTGTAGCTCCTTGCCTTTGGGTTTATTGCTGTTTTGTTTTGAGCTTGTGTAGCTCCTTGAGTTTGGATTTGTGGCTGTTATTTGGAGCTTGTGTAGCTTCTTGCTCTTGTGTTTTTTGCTGTGTTGTTTGGAGCTTGTGTAGCTCCTCAATCCCTTTGGGTTTGTTGCTGTTATTTGGAGCTTGTGTAGCTCCTTGCTCTTGCGTTTGTGACTGTTATTTGGAGCTTGTGTAGCTCTTTGCCTTTGGGTTTGTTGCTGTTTTGGCTGAAGCTTGTGTAGCTCATTGAGTTCGGATTTGTGGTTGTTTTGGCTGAAGCTTGTGTAGCTCATTTAGTTTTGGATTTGTGGCTGTTATTTGGAGCTTGTGTAGCTCCTTGCTCTTGTGTTTGTTGCTGTGTTGTTTTTGAGCTTGTGTAGCTCCTTGCTGCT